AAGAAGAAATGCGCATGATTTCATTGTTAATAATAAAACGATATTCCACTGGCAAGTGTAATATATATTAGTGTTTCATTGTATATGTCTAAGATATTTTAACAGTTTTTAGTCATGGGTTGTGAAATAGATATTATTACCTTTTGTTGTATGATTCTTTATATATTGTTGACAGTTCAAATGTGACTGATTTCATACGAGATACGTATGTATATATTATATATAGAAATAAAATTTTTATTTGTTATTTAATAAGTAATAAGTTAGCAGATATATATTTGTATCTTTAAATAAAGGGATATGTAGTTTTAATGTATAAAACAATAAATTTTATTTAATATTACAATCGCGTTTATTATATTAATCATTCATATAAAAAATTATATCGCATAAATATAATTATACTATTTCATATTTGTTTTATCATATATACATGTATCGTATGCAGTGCATTTTTTAATCCAATTCATAATCCGTTCGTTTTCGTTTCTTAAGATTCACAGCGCTCTGTGAAGTTTCAATAATACATGAACCTTTTCTTAACCATTCATTCAATTGCATCTTGGCCTTCCTGCCTGTGAGAAACAAGTCTCTCTCTAATCTTGGCAGTAAGCTGTTAAGCATAGGGTCAGAAACAGGATTTTGTGCCCAGTCCATAATCAATCTAAATCGCGATCTGAAAGTCTGAAAAAACAGAACAATTAAATGAATGTGAATTAATAAACAGCTTAAAGTTAATATCACTTACTAATAGCAAACTATCAATTATCATTTCGCAATCACGATTGTTGAATTTCCTCAAATACATTCCCAGTTCGTAATAATATGGATTCCATTTATTTAGTACAACGGTACAAGCGTCTGCTAATAAAATTTCTCTACAATAAATATGAGAAGCAAACTGTTAGAAAATTCTCCTTAATAGAAATTAATTCTACTACGCGTACATATACAAACTAGTACAAACCTATAACCCTCCTTGTATGTTTTGGGAATGTCTATACTGACTATTGATTCTCTTACTTTATTTAGTGGTTGCGCTAACCACAATGGAAGTTCCAATTTTGCACCTGGTTTTAGATCCTCTGACTCAGAGGATAGATCCAGAAAACCTATATATGCATAATACAATACAATGTAAAACGATCATATTTATAAAAACAAACTCCTATTTTCTATAAAACAAATATAACATGAGGAATCAAATATTTGATGTTTAGAATAAAATTAGCTGTAAATTTTGTGGCAACTTTTATTATAATTATGAGTTAAAAACTTAATTAATAACTATATTATTGTAAGAACTATGCACAATTATGTAAAATAATCATATTTATAAGAAATAAATTCATATTTTTTACACAATAAATAACATTAACATAAGGAAAAAATATCTGTCTAAGAAAAATTAATTGATAATTTTATTGCAATTTAATTATAATTTCAAATTAAAATCTTAATTAATAAGTATATTACGCAGAAATGCTCCATCTGTGAATAAAAGAAGTACAATTTCGCTGTTTTTGTTATAATGATATACATTTACAACTAATAAACAAGTCTGTGTTTTAATAGAGAAAAGGTATAATAAAATTTTAATAAGTTTACCTAAGCGAGGTAGCGTAACTTCTATCTTGCACGATATTCGTTCTTCCGTACATAAAATATCCGTTAGGGAAAAATAATCCGGCACATAACTATAAGACAACGTCATTCTGCCTCTTCTAATATTATTTTGAAAATCCAACAGTCTCCGTCATTGCATCTGGATATTTACAGTGTTTGCACTTACTGATCAATAAATAGCGCCTCTTACGAAATAATATTACACTTCTTTATCTTTCTTTTTTTCCTTCTCCTTTGATAAGAAACGCTGATTATGGATGTAATGTAACATGGAATGGTAATGTAGGAAGCACATCAATTTTTTACCTACATCGAAAATCTTTAGACACGTGTATGAAGTTAGCGCACTAAGCGCAGTACTTTTTGAATTTATAATAAATACTTTTTTGAATTTTATAATTTCATTGTGTTTATTCATTATGCTAGGTTTGTGTAAATTAACTTCATTCTATATTTCATAAAAAGCTATAATTTTTACAGCTCGGCACTTTCCAAATTTTGAATTTTCTTTAATTTTGTTGAATTACACTTTTATATACAAATGTGAAGACAATGGTTTAAAGTACAATTGAATAAAATTTGAATCCAAGGACGTAATTCTATAAACGTGGCAAATAAACCAGCTATCAATATCCTTTCTACCATATTTCGCATGTTTTCCAAATAAACTTAACTTGCTTGGTGCAGATATTTTAATTTTAATTATGTTCATATCTACAAATAAGAATTTTTATTTAAAAAATATTCTAAAATATATATATATTTTTATATAAATAGAATATACACATGTAATTTATCTTTTACTCGTTTACTTTATAGTAAACTTAACATCAAGAAAATAATCAAGTCTTAAGAATAGAATTACAATCGTTAAGAGTTACACACACACACTCCACACCACACACACACACACACACACACACACACACACACACACACACACACAC